CTTATTAGGTACCTGCATCAAAGTGGTAACATTATAGGAAGGGAACAGACTAGAATGATAAAAAAATAGCTAATTACTTCAATAACATCATTCCCTACAATTGACCAAGCAACACAAAAAAAACGGGAAGTAAATCCATCGGGCCTGGAGCTTTATCAGGTTAATGGTAAAACATGGAAGCCCTTAATTCATCCCGAGTAACCTTCCTACAAAAAACCTCATTTGCAGTGTCCGAGAAAGAACACCTCGACACCTCTTTGATCAGGTCAATAATAGCACCAACAACAAACAAACCAAGACTACTCAACATAGTCTCATAATACCAAATAATCTCAGTAGAGATACCCTCAAGATTATCGAACACCTGACCCTGATCATTAGTGAGAGTGACAATAATTTGCCTATTTTGCTTCATAGCCACCATAGAATAAAAGAACTTAGAGTTCCTATCCCCCTCTTGAATCCATCTGATCCTACTTTTTTGTCGAAATAAGCTCTCCTCAGCACCCATAAGATCCATTAATTCAGTATAAACAACCATTTCCCTAGCAACCAACTCCACAACTCTTCTATTATTTAACAAAGCCAATAGAAGTTGCTCCAGCTCCACTTTTTTTTCCCGAACTCGAAGGGATAAATTCCCATATCTACTTACATTTAAAGCTTTCAAAATAGGCTTCAAACGTTTCAACTTAAGGAACAAAATACTCATAGGGTCAGCAGCCTGCAGGGGTCTAGTCCAACAATCATCCACTAAGCTAAGAAAACTCGAATCTTTAACCCATAAATTAAAAAAAATAAAAAGGCTTAGGTAGAGACCTTAAATCATTCTCAGTCTACACCATCCCCGGACAGTGACCAGACAACCTTGGAGCAAGAAAAGACACCTCAGCCGAGGGGAAAGCCATCATCCATGATGAAGTCACCAACACATTATTCAACTTCATAGCCAAAAATGACTCAATTTTGCAAATTCGACCAAGTGAAAATGAGGCCCCTATAAGCATGATCCAATAACCCCAACTGACCAATACACGAAGTATACTAAAAATATCCTGAGCTAAACCATTACCAACCCACTTCGAGCTCTCCTAGGACATGTAATAATATTAAAATCCTTATAAACAAGCCAAGGATCATCCCCAATAGTGCTCTTAAGATCAATCAGATGTTGAAATAACAACCTCCTATCACTCCCAAAATTACTTCTATAGATCCCAGAGATGAAACAACGAACCTGCCCAATCTGAACAGAACAAGTAATACACTACAAAGTAACAACAATCTCCACAATATGAAAAGAACTTTTGCAAAAAAAAAACCAAAGCCTACCATTATTAGCACAATTATAATTATGAAACCCTACCCCAACTAATAAAATTCTTCCTCCAAATGTCCTGCATATTATTCTCTATAACTCTTGTCTCAATTAAACAAACTAAATCGATACTCAAAGAATGAATCCTATCTAGAACATGTCTCTATTTCTGAAGATTGTTAAATCCCCTTGTATTCCAAAAAAGCATCTTCATGTAGGCGAGGAACCAGAAGAACCTTGACCCTGCTGCTTCTTGTTACGCTTTGCATTTCGTTTATTATTCTTTAAATTATGAACTAGAGCAGCAACGTTTTTAGCAGCGTCCCGAACTACCCTTGGCTCCCCACTAGAAACAGAAATCACTTCTTGAGAATTAAAATTCCCAGAGCTATAAGCAATATCACTTTGAGGAGGGACTGAAGCCATAACCGAAAAAACATCCACTACCTTACTCTTAACCAAGTCTTTATCTATAGAAACCGTATTCACCTCAGTTACCTTAGTACTATCAGCTTCAACCCTATTATTGACCTCATCTCCCACCTTCATAGATTCAACATTAATTGCCTTCACGAACTTTGGTAGTTTCAGATGTCAAACCTGCTGAAGAGCCTTTTTCTTCTCACAGCCCCGATCAGTATGACCAAATACATTGCAATGAGTACACCTGAGAGAAATCCATGCCACCTCAACGCCAACATCTACCAAAGAGCCATCACGCAACTATATTTGAATACAGTTCGAGATCTTACAGCTAGCTTAAGCCTCAACACATAACTTTGCAGAAGCTAGCCTTTTCCTGCTAGCAGTAACCCCATCCATGTAAAGAGGCATGCCAACGACACTTGCAACATAGCTAAACCCCACTTGATTAAACAACTCCAGAGGAACCCGACTCAAATGAATCCAGATTGGAAGTTTATCCATACTAAACTCTAGCGATCTAAGATTCAGTTCCTATTTACGCAAAATTAATGGCTTATTCTGAATATGCCATGGACCATTAGTTAAAACCCATTCAGTAGCCTCTAAATTTCAAAATTGAATCAAGAATAAGTTTTCACCCGTAAAATTAACCTCGATATCCCCAAAATTTCCCTAAAGTAGGGTCATAAAGTGATGCATAGAATTAAGATTTGGAGGCTTATGCAGGATTTATGCCATAATTGAATGTTGCCAAACCCTAATCCCCACATCAAAGACCTCAACGGGCGATTTGATTATAACCCCTCCTCCCTCTTCAACCTGAGGAGGAAAAAACTACAAGGATCGATCCTCATTCACAGCGAACAGATTTCGCCAATTCATTCGACCACCATCACCGCTCTCATCATCTCGATTCATAAACGAAACGAGCAACAAGAGACAAATCCCAGAAAGAAAGAAAAATAGGGAAGAAGAAGAAGAAAACCCCAGGGACAAAAGGCTTGTTATTGTGCACCTAGAGCATTTCTAAACGTGCGCATAATCTAGGGTATTAGGGGTAATATTTGTTTATAATCTTTCTTAATCATTAATAATATACACCTACAAACACAGTTGTTAAACCCATGATATTTTTTAGTTCTAATGATCATGCCATAAGTCACAGCTTTCAGGTCTACTTTAGCCTGAAATTGAGTTTAATAATGTAAGTTATCATATCATTACACTTAAAAAACCTTAGGGGTTGTTTGGTTCAGGGAATGGGGGATTCCCATGGGAATGGAATCCACATTCCTCATTTTGTTGGTCGATAATCTCATTTTCGGTAATGTTTTATTACCAATAGTGGATTTTTTGGGGTATATTATCGGGAATGTCATTACCCATTCCATTAGGTATTGTTGGATTATCGACATTTTTGGACTAAAATGCCCTTAATTTTTTTTTCAAAAATATCCTTCTTCTGTCATTAAATAATAAAAATTCTACAAAGGTTAAATTACAAATTTATCCTTAAAGTATTTTAGATTTACAAAAAAAAAGTCTATAATTAAAATTTTATATGAAGTTCAAGGGTTAAAATAAAATTTTACCCTTTCATTAAACTTTTTTATATTTTCAATTTTGTAAAAAAATTATATAAATTTTATGAATTTAAATTTTTTAAAGAAAATATATAAATATTTAACTTGTTAAAAAAACAAATATATAATAAGGACAATTTGGTCAAATATACATTCCAATAATCTTTTATTCCTTTAACCAAACACGGTAATCTTACATTCCTGCTAAACCAACCAAACACAAAATACAACATTCACAGTAATTTTATTCCCTGGTAAACTTTTATTCCCACTGGTAATCTTACATTCCGTGAACCAAACGCACCCATAGTATTTTGTAGTTAATTTATAAGGAATTTTTTAAATTATTATATGATTTTTAATTTTTTTGTCGAAATAGAAAGAAAAATTGATATAAATATTCTTAAAGTAACATATTTAGTAGAGCAGGGGAGATTAATAATCAAAATTTACTGTTGCTGGTGGCTTAACTATAATTACAGATTCTCTTTGTTCTGATGTAAAGGCCACTCTCTACTTACAGCTACCGAGTATGGCTTCAGGTTTACAGGAATACTATTTTTTTATATATATAAAAAATATTTAAAACAACAACCTTAAAGTATACAGGCAAATAGAGAGCCCCATTGCAGCCCAAACATCCAAGATCCCGTGGAGCAACAATATAATTCCAGTCAAGCCTTGGATTCGGTGGTATTAAATTATGGGTTAGAATCGGAAGCTTTCTTTAATTCGATCCAAATTTTCTTAACAGTCGTGCAAAATCTATGAACGTGGCTTATAGACTCGTTTTCATTCCCACAGTGTTTAATACGCCGTGGAAGGCATGCCTTTTTTTCAGTGAGGATATCATTCGTGTTCAATTTATTGAAAAAGCACATCCATGAGAAGAAACTAATTATTTCATTAATATTTGTGCCCAATATGTTTCGGGTTTAAGTATTAAACACAATTTATAAAAAGACGAAGAGGTTGGATAACTTGGGGAAAATTAATAACTCTGTATGCACGTACTGAGGTATGTTTTGGGTAAATGGTTCTGTAATTTTAAAGGAGTCCTAATTAAGGGTAGAAATGGGTTGAAAAGGATCAAATTTTTGACCGATCAATATATATATATAAAAAACAAATGATCCAAATGCATGAACAAAAAAAATGTGGTTGATCATGGATGGATTGTTTTGGGAAAAATGGACCACAATGAGTAGAGAAAAGATGTCTCCCCTATTAATACTTTCCCAGACATTAAATACACAACCGTCCAATTCTTACAGTCCTTTTCCATGCATGAAAAACTGATGTGGTTCCATTTCATTTTTCTTTTTTTAATTTTGATCAGAAGTTTGTTTTATTTTGCCCCTTTTTCTCTTCTGCATGCGAAGCCCCCCACTGTCAGGTTGATAGCAACCATTCAAACATCCCCCCATGCTTTCCTTCTGGTATAAGCGCGGCAGAGTTGTTCCAATCGTATTTAATTTATATTATATTCCTTGTTTTTAAATGATAAATGCATAGGCAATAATGGAAAACAGCTAAAAAAATCACTGGCCTAATATTGACAAAATTGGGGGACGTGTCTTACAAAGAAATTACCAGTGAATCTGAGCCTTCAAGGCCACAAAACAAGCAGACATGTTGCCCTGATAAACCATGTTTCAAATCCCCACAACAGACACAGTAACCAGGCAAAGCCATGTTCCTCAATCTAATTTACTAGAAAAAGAATCATGATTATCGCTTCCAGTTCGACTCTAACTATGTTGTGGGTCCTGCTTTTGGCTCACATGTATTGTCTACGCCTGACATAGTTTACCTTGTCTTCATTTGAGACAGATAGACTTGGACTGTATTACAGTTTTACCGATCATGAATCCCGGAACCACAGTGAAAGCCACCCGCGGTTCTGATTCCGGTCGAATATCCGACGAAAGGAACGCTTCCTCCGCTACACTTTCCATGTATACTTCAGAGAATCTACACCCTCTGTTTATTTGAAAGACTGATGCCTCCGGCTCGAAAGCAAAGGCTAAGCAGTGCAGGAGCCAGACCCGCTTTGCCATTTCCACGAATAAGGTGAAAAATGGAGTGTCTGGGAACTGATAGGAACTCACCATGTCCCTACTGCTCAAATTGTCGAAAAACGATGATTCCATCTTCGGATGAACGACTTGTAAGTACTTGGCCCGACAGAATTTCGCGAACGTTGACTTTGGTTTCAAGGCAAGATATTCCTTAACTCTCAAGGATTTCAGTTCCATAAATCTATCGAAGAAGACTTGTGGATGTTTCTTCCCCTCGGGCATATAGCTGTCAAAAAGAGAGAAATAAGGATGGTGGAAGGCCTTAAACATTTCCCTGCAAATGAAGGACTCGAATGCATAACATTTGTCGTCTGCTTTCCAATAGGCCACACCTTGTTGTATCGAACTAGCCGCTGCATCAATGTCCCAATCAGCGGACTTCATTTCATCTATCATCAGCCTGACGAAATTCCTAACCGATTTAACGGTTTGTACATGAATGATAATAAAATGGCTAGGATTCAAGCTTGATAGGTGAAGGTTGTCGAGCACAAATAACGGACCACTTTGATTCAATCTCTTCTCCAGCAACCTGTTTTGCTTATTGGATTCATCCAACTTTTCTCGAAGAAAAATGATCTCAGACTGTTTGAGCTTCAGCTGAGATTCTAATTTCTTTCCCATAATCTCAAACGTCTTCGAAAGACATTTCTGTTCCTGAAGGTCAGCTAAAACTATTGCATGTTCAGGGGAAGGATCATACTGTTTCTTCAAGAAACATTGCTTCAATTCAGACAATTTCTTCAAGTCCGAAACTATTGATCGATCAGCAGCTTGAATCCCCTCGGCATCGTAAGGCGACTGAGCATACTGCAAATGAGCATATTCGGCCTTGATAGCCGAAACGGTAGCAAATATTTTCGCAGTGAGAGCTTCCAAGGCAACCCTTCTTTCGAGCTCTTCATCATGTAAGCTGTCGAATTTCTGAGACAATCTCTTGGCGGTCTTACTGTCGTTCCAATCTTCTGTTTCTTTAGGCTTAACCTTCTGAACCCCATCATCAGGGACAATCCCACCCGTAGCAGCGTGCCGGTGAAGTACTTTGGATAACGTTCGAACCCATTTACTCTTTGACGGAGTAACAGCCGATGGCTTCACTGCTTCCATCTGCAAAATATCACAAATGACAATAACACCTATAAGTCCACAGAGAATTTCTTCGAACGGCTTTTAACATACACCAATTATAAGAAGACAAAAGAATAAATAAAGGAGAGATGCAGAGGTTTATAAGCGTGTTGACAGAAAGAATAAAAAGCTAAACACTTTAATGGAGAATGGAATTTTCTTTTTGTTAGTTTATTTTGTTCACCTTTTTGAACTTCTACTGAGCCTTCTTTTGACAGAGTAAAAAAATGAATACTTTTCAACACCACGGAAAAGAATTGAGAGGAGCATGAAGAACAAGAAGAGCAAAATGGATAGAAAAATCATTCATAAAGTTCAAAAAGCTCGTCTTTCCAACACTCTATGAACCTTCATTTTTGGGGGGAAATATTCTATGCGAGGGGCGAAATCGAGCGGTGGAGAAAGCGTACAGAGGAAGAAACGTTGTACATCTCAAGAAACTCGCCTAACATGTAGTTTCCTCTAGCTGTTGCACAGTTCATAAATGGTCAAAATATGGACATCAAAACAATAATCTTTAAACAACAAACAACCCACTTGCCCAAAAAAACCATATATCCAACCCCAAGGAGACTGTGATGAAATAAATCAATGCAATCCCACTGTTTTTTAATGCTTTGAATGGGAAAAATATCCTGTTTTGACAAGAATTTTGCAGACCCCTTACATGTCTCTTTCCTTGAATTATACAATGAAGAATTAATAACTTCATTTTAATATAAAACATGTCGGTTCCAACCACATGGAAGAATCAGAAAATGTCCAAGACAGAAAAATAATGCAGGAGAAAAAGCATTATTTATGTATGAAAAGCTTTTTAGTTAAGAGAGAAACGACCTAAAGCGTTAAGAAATTAGGAGGTGATCAAAACATACCATAAAAGTGTACACATGAAATGGCAAAGAAAGCTTAAAATCTGAGCACAAATCTAAATCAAGATATGCTGTATTTTTATAGGATTCAAGAGATAAACAACCATACAAAATATTCTAGTTCCATATGAGCAAAGTCGACAACAGGACAACCCCCACTGTGGTCCATGAACCACTTGAAATTTCCACCAATGTTCACAGTTGCCTATATTTGACCCCACAACATTAAAAATCAAAATACCCTTCTCCTCCAACCCAATCAATTATATATATATATTCCCTGGTCTTTATTAAAAACAATCTGATTGAAGCATTGAATATAAAATAAGATTTAAAAGATTATAAAATAATCTTCAACAATTTAACTGGGGAAAATCCAGAAGGTAGAAAATTGAGAGTTCCATAAATTCATAGGATTCTTTAGGGTCTATGCATTCACTGTTTCACACAGCCTAAAAGAACACTAAAATAAAGTGAGCTGGGTTTATTTGGGGACCACAAAGTGAAAAATCTGATATGAAACAGTTGCAGCATATTCATGAGCTTTGCATATTCACGTGGCTATCCAATGAGTGCACTGCAATGCAATGACTTTATTCTCTTGTATTATATTTCTCATATGGTAGTTTTAAATATCATTCAATTGTACGAATATGATATGAAAAATATAATAGAAGCACAAAACCAAAAGTGATAAAGAATAACATAAATGAAAACATATTAATATGTTAAAATTCATACGACACATATTCCATTTTATCAATATACAACGCTTTTAAGTACAAATATAACCCACCAAGATATATGAACATCAAATTATGAAACTATACAATAGGCATAGATCAAATCAATATAATATAATAATAGAAAAAATTAAAAATCAATTTAATAATAAAAAACAATGCACTGCGAGGTTGTTTTCTTTTTGCAGTACAACAGCTTTGAACATCCGTTGCATTTCTGCAACATCTTTTTATATTTACTGAGATTTGAACCTATTTGTCCTGTAACCAAAAAACCTTTGCCAAATTTGTCCTGTAACCAAAAATCCTTTGCCAAATTTGTCCCACACCTTGTTGCCTGAATCTAAATGTAAATCTAGTTTTTATAGTCCAAGACTTTTGGTGTCGGACGAGAAGCAAAATTCATTTAGAACTAAAAAAAATTAAATTATTTATCACTAGATCTAAAAAAAAATACTGATCAATTAGATATAAAAAAATACGAATATGTGGCCGTACAAAAAATACTATCTTAAAATTTGAGAAATCAAACGAACAGTTCCAAGATATTAAAAATCTTGGAAATGGAAGCAACATGGGTCTACCTACCAATTGTGTATTTAAAATCTTTGAAAAAAAAAATTATTGAGGAATAAAATCACCACCGGTGACCGGACAAACGAAGAAACACTATGTTTATACAGAACCTGACAGGTTGCCCCGTTTGTTGTGGACGGTGACCCCCCATGGAGGCCTGGATTCTAAAACCCTTAATGACTTCTTTTCATATATATAAAAATCTAGAAATGTTATGGTAATGAAATTCAGGAAAAATCAACAGCTATCATGCAAAAATTAAGTTATACAGTTTTAAAAATATCTTGGCAACCTCTATAAAGTTTACAACAACGTTTTAATCCTAACATTAGGCTCCGAGATCCATGTATGGCAACCACTCATCATTCCTTCTAAAAAATATATAGAAGAAACTATGTATTAAATCATTCAACTATCATTTCAATTTTGTTTTAATTATTTAATTAATGTTGTTACATTTCAAATTTATTTTGAAAATGCATCACTAAAAAATAATAAAACTGTTAACGTTATTTTTTTTCAATGATGATTAGACATTAGCTTATTGTAATAGCAAACATCATTAGATGACCAAAATGAATCAACACATAATATTAGTGAGATTTTGAAAAATAATAATTAGATGACCAAAATATAATCTAAGGGATAATTAGGTGCTAAATACAGAATTTAGCCAAAAAATATATCTTGGAATCACATTGAATGGATCCAATCAATTAAAAAGTCGTGAGAAATCGTACAACCGTGTAATTCTTTATTGTTTTGATTTCGTAAATCTCAAGCAAACAGAATCCATAAATTGAACGTTCACACTCTTCTTAAAACAGAAAGCACAATCCTGTCCTGTTATATTTTAAAAAAAAGGGGAAATTTTAAAATGACGTCATATTTTGCTGGAAAATCAAAAGAGAAGTGAAAGAATGGCAACGCAGTGTGTTATGGATACGAAGATAGAAAGACCAGAAGCCGAATCCCGAGAAACAAACAGAGCGAATTAAATAGGAAGAGCAGCTGGAACTCAGAAAAAAAAAAGATACGAATAGAAGCAAAGCAAGCTAAGCTGAATCAAAAACAATACTGGAAAAAATAAAATTTCTCAGGTGTTGTTAAGAATAAAATAAGAAAACAAATGAGAAACTGTTAGAACACTTACCTTTAGCTCCCTCGATGAAAAATAAGATGAAAATAAAAAGGTAATTAAGATCATTGCTAATACAGAAAGCTTAATATATATACGAACAGGCCAATCTTGCGACCTCCTTTTCTAGATTTATTTGGAAAAAGGAGAAAACAGAATCAAAAATAAATGGAAAGGAAATAAAACTAACCCATAAAAGCAAAGCTTCATTAAAATTTCAAACTTACCTTAAAAAGAAGTCTCGTTTATCGTACAATGATCGAGCGGAGAAGAAAAGAAATAAAACTGAAGTTTAGCTTTGAAATGTCAAAAGCCCAACCAGCTAAACTTCTCCAATGCAATGGATCTTTTCTTCTTTTTCTTTTTTAAATATGCGATGATTTTTCCCCTTTTTTGAGCGGATATTTAATTTTTGATTTGATGTGCCGGAGGAAAAACAATTGCTGCAGCTTGGGAAGAGAAGAATGTGAAATGACATAAGAGGACAAAATGAAAACACGTTTTTCTTCGTGCGTGGAGGGAAAAGTAACCGTCCAAGGTTGGGACATTATTTTGTTTTACGTTTCTGCCATTTCATTTTCCTTGATATTACCAATCATAATACGATTATTTATCGCTAATACGCTAAACAATAATTAAAATTTAACAAAATTAGTCGACAAAAAAATTAATTTAATGATAAAAATGTACTTTGAATATTTTATAATTTTAAATTTAAATTTTATGATATCCAATTATGCGTGAGTTTTTATTTATCATATTTAATTTAAAAAATTAACAGTAATTAAGTATAATGATAAAATATGTAATATTTTTAATAAAAAAATAGATTTAAATCATGAAAAAATCATATTGAGAATTTTTTAGTGAATTTAAAACATTTTTTATAAAATTATTCTTTATTGATAGTATATCAGATAAAATTTTAATATAAATAATATTATAACTTTATTTTATATAATTTTTAATATTAATGTATTAATTGATTATTTGATTATATAAATAATCATTTTATTTATAATATTATAGTAATTTAAATATTAAATACTATTTTAAGAATATAACAACTCGTATATTAATATTGTAACTTAAAATTATATAAATATGAAACTTCAAAGGAAAACAGAGAAATACGAAGAATTGGAGAGGGCAAAAATGTTAGGGTAATTTCGGGAGTTCAGTTAGTAGACCTGACGTCCGTGTGATTTTCTAGAGGGAAGATGGACGATGGAGATATGCAGTTGGTGGGATTTTTGTGTGTTACTACAAGTGAGAGTGCGTTGGATGAATGCCACGTGGATCATGAGGAGAATGACAGTGGGACCCTAACCAAGGAAGGCAGATTCTTTGGACGGTTCAATGGGTCCAACCTACGATACGATTCTTGAGAGCTGTGAACTTTGATGTGATGGGCAGAGAAAAATTGTGATAATATATTAACCAGAAAAAAATAATAATTTTTTTATATTGTACTCTGTTGACAAGTTAATTACGAAATAAATAAAACTAAAATTCAAATAATTGTTATTTTCTTAACTTATAAATAAAAATCAAATCATACCTAATAGATTTAAACCCAAACACAATTTATTTCTCACCTTACTCTTGATGAATATTAAAATAAAAACTATTTATTTTATTTTAATTAATAAAATATATGAATAAGACATTCGTTTAAACTTTTTAAACATCTATCGCCGCAATTTGCAAGTGCTTGTAATTAACATAGTACAAAAACAGAGTAAATCCATAATCCCTTTCCCGAACAGGATTAGATATCATAATTTACCACCCCCAAAAGTCAATAAATGATATATTAATGTCTTGTCAAGCATGCCCCATTAGCATAAATCATGCCATGTCTTAATTGCTAATTGTATTCTGCAATTTTTTATTTCATTTCAACTTGTATATTATTATATGATACATTTTTTATATAAATTATCAAGTAGTTTTCATACTCCAAGGAAATGTTATTTTTTAAAATACTATATATTATAGCAGATATATTTGCATGGTGAGTGTATTACCATTTGTTAAGAAATATTTTGATCAAATACTATTCTTTTTCTTTTATATTAAAATGTACATTGGTTTAATATAAAAAAGTATTTAAATTATATTGTTTTTTTAAAGTGGTGCATAAAATTTGATCGGTTAATTTAAGTATATGACGTTACCAATGTGTTTTTATCTAAGTGCCTCAACTGTTGTGGTAAACCAAACACCAGAAATCTTGTATGTGTTTTGTTTGTCTTTCACGTCAATAAGTTTAGGCCAAAAGACTAAAATATATTTTATTCATTTCCTTTTAAGATATTTTATAATTAGTCTCAATCTTTGAAATCAATTGAAAATGACATTAAAGGCCAATCAAGGATGTGGACCATCTACTTTTTACGTTTTGAGGTTTTGACATAGATATGTTAGCTACCTAGTACGAACGAAAATAAATAAATAAATATATATATATTTAATAATTTATTATAATTATAAGATAATGTTTTTTTAATATATTATATTATATGAACAAAGCTGATTGAATATAAAATTATAATATTCCTTTATAAAGACAATCCGATTTATGCCAAGTTATCTTTCAAGACTATTAACAAAATATGGAAAAGAAAAAGGTGAGACGACTAATGTCAATATGTGACAATGGGAATTATTATGCAACTTAAATCTCGTTCGGACTATTAGAATTCCATCCGAAAGAGTGGAGGCATTAGTCCTAAGATGGAATAAAATCAACCATTTAGGGCGCCACTCACGCTGAAATATGTTGAAACTGAACAAAATCACTTGGTATTAAAGTAATCTTGCCTATATCTGATTGTGACTATTTTTTCTTTTATTTTCTAAATACTTAATTCAAAAATATTCTAAAATGATTATAAGTAACGTATATTCAAAAAAAAATTTAATTTATTAACGTAAATATTTTAAAATAAATAATAATTTTTTATCACCGAGAGTACTCAACCACACAGGGTAAGGGAAAGACTGAATCATTGTTGCTGAGAAAGTTTTTCTAAATGTTATGTTCTGAGCCCAAAAAAAGTATTCAAAGGCGATATGAGAGCTAGCTATCTAGGTTTGGCATGGGTAAATGTCCAGCATCAAACATTTGTCAGGAACTTTAAGTCTCAAACGACACTGTTTCTAAGCACTCATCTCCACTTTGGGCTAGGGCTTATTTGATTCAAATATTTGTGGAAATCCCGCAGCTTTTTCTCCACTTGAATCCATATATACTCACTAATGCTATCACATGGAATCCAATGGCAATTGCTGCTGCAAATCCACAACTTTTATTTTAACTGTTTATGTGGATTCTGATCTTTTCATGATGGAATCCGATGGCAAACACAGATCCTTGGATTTAACCCCTAGAAGTCCTCATCTCTGCATACTTGCTTCTTAATATCTCTTTTTGAATTTTATAAAAATAAACTTAATGACATCATCATCAATCGTCGATTCGTATCATACAAGAGCATCGTATCAGGAATTACCATATAATCGGATGCATACAAGAACGATTTTCAATCCAAAAGAAAAAGAAAGCATAACCATCACCAAAAATTGTTGAATGTAGAGACTAAAACATCCATGTTAAAAACGCCACCGTCAAAAATCCAGACATGTTCTGGATACATTCCCCATCATGGAATTAATGTGCACTAGAACATGTAAGGGTTGAGCCTCTCGAGATCCTGGCAATGAATGCAGGTCCAGGGTAACAAAGGAGGATCAAGACAGTATATGTGTATGTTTCGCATCTGGCAAGCATGACAGCTGATAAGAAGATCCTCCGGTTCTCGAGAACGGCACATGATGCAAACTGAAGCAGCTGAGAACTAGTCCATAAGGTAGCCCATAAAAGTAGTTGGCGTCAGCAAAACTAAGCAACAAATGAAAATGGATGAAATACAATGTTACTTGGACTCCAGTGTCACTGTATGCGACTGACACTCGATTATTCAATTTTTTTAATTGTGTTTTTACATATTAGAAGGGTCCTTGGAATGTAATATTTTCATACCCATGTTTGAATATATGAAATACTTGAAGAAAAAAGAAAGTCGGAGACACATAGATCAAGTATAATGTAGCAGTGGAGGCTCTACTGAAAATGCTAGCTTTGCTTACTGATAGTGCAAAATAGTGATCAACTTGTAACATCCATTGGCAGTGCAGAACTGCAGAGTTTTCAGAAATTAAAAGCAAGGAGCTTCTCAATGGAGAAGGCCTTGTTGGATAGAGTCGAAAGTCGAAACCAATGTTACAGTTGTCTAACAACTCTCTGTAAAAACCCTGTTGTGCATGAATCACACAAAAAGAAATGCAATCAAATCTATATGATAGGCATGCACTTAAGGGTACCTAATTATGTATACCAGTATATGCATGTCATTATATTTGTTCCCGGTATCCTTTACAAACTTATTTCCATCAACCACCACAACCACTTAAGTGTACTATTTCTGGTTTTAAAATGCTATGCAGAAACATCATAAAACATGGCATCATGGTACAAAGATAGAAGCAATATAATTTTTAGTATTAGAGTACCCGCTACCTGAGCAGCTCTTTCCTGATCAGATAGAACAGGAACATCAAGTGTTGGTGTGGCACAAGGAATGGTTTGGGAAAATACTTTTTGATCAGAGATGGCTGCATCCTCCACTTTTGTAATGCTCGTGAATCTTGCCTTGCACAAAGGACAAAATGGAGTATTTCTATTTGAAGTCTGCATACAGCATAATTAGTATAAGAAACTTTCAAATTGGATCAGGTTCAAGGTAAAGACATTAGGGGAAAAATCATATGCCACAAATCATCATGAAATTAAGATCCAAACTGATGATACAACTAAGAAGTAGAATACTGAGTTGGAAATCAGTTCTCAAAAATAATACTAATAGTTTGGCAACCCTGAAATATTAGATGGCAAACTGTTTTAAGTTCTAGACCATAAAGAGAAAAAGAGCAGGCAACATTTTCCACTACTCTTATTCTCCACAAACAGTTAGTAAAAACCGAGGGGGAGTAAAGGATCAAGAAATGGACAAGTATTGGTCTGTTCATAACATTACAAACAAAACTTATCAGCTTACTGTATTGTTGAAAACAATGCAAAGCACTTGATGAATTTGAATTTCTAGAGAGATGATCATTCAGAAACAAGCAAGTTATAGCAAGTGGCAAACTCAAATGTCTAATTACTAAAGTAAGCAATGAATTATAGAGGGCCAGAGTGACCTAGACCCGCATACTTCCTAATAAAAAAGGAACATACAAAGTAAAATGGTGCATACTTGTAGATACTAGATAGTGACAGCAAAAATTGTTGTTTAGAGCACAAAATAGAATATAAGCTAGTGGAAGACAAGATTAAAACATCATATAGTAAATAAAATATTAAACGAAGTACAATCATATCAAATCTAGCTTCTTGTGTAGGATATTAATAATGATTAAAGAAATGCCAACTATAAACATATGAATTTAAATATTAAAAAAAGAAGATGAGAATGAGTACCATCTTGTCAGCCCACTCCTGGATACATGAATAACAAAATCGATGTCCACATTGCAAAATCCCTCTTGTTGGACTAAACTCAGTCCAACATATAACACATGATAAATCCATTGATGTCGATAATCTGGAAGCAAAATCCCGGGTCTCTCTCACAGCATCAGAGCACCCATCTGGTGAAGCTCTTTCAGTGTCAGGTTGCGCATTCTTTCCTGGTGAAGTTAAACCATTGGAAGGAGGTTGGATGTTCCACAATTCAATCTCCTCAATTTTTATTTCTTCATGTAATCTTTGAAGCTTACTGAACTCATGATTAGATGGTTCTCCAATTGCAGATATACCAACAGTCCTCCAATTAGATGGCCCTCCAATTTCAGGATTACATGGATTTTTTACTCCAGCACATGGTTTACGGACCCTGAGGAGTGGAACTGGATAGCACTCTTGGTCAGAATCCGAAGAATCAGACACTACTATTTCTCTGTTAGTCTTCTTCACAAGCCTCCGTCCTTTCCTCTGAGATGATTTGGCCAAAGAAGTGTCTCTGCTGCCATCACCAAGATCTCTTTCTTCCCTCAGCGACAGAGCAGAACAATGAGCGTTTGGCTCCTTGTTCTTTGAGATCTTCCTTTTGTTCCTCATTGGAGGCATAGAAGCATAAGAAAATGGGTCTCCATGCTTTTCAACCAGATAAAGTAAAAAAGCAAAGTCAAGAAAATAAGAACTGCGCAATTATTCCTTAAAAATCCATAGATTGACACAGAATTTGAAGATTGTATTGAACTTTGGTAGAAACCTTGAAAATCTAACCGGCTACCTCTAGCAATAGTTCACAAAGTTAATTTCTATGGGTTAGAATAGATATACTAATTTGCACAGACATAAACTCAACTGACATACATTGCAGTACTAATTATCAATCAAGATTCATTTACAGATGTATAGCTTAAAGAAGCTCTGGTTATTTACCCTGACAAAGAATTCTCCTGTGGTGTTTGCAAAACAGAAGAAGGAAAAGGGTGAGGCGTGGAAACAAAGCAATGAGGAGTAGAATTTAGATAATCACCTCATCCAACATTGCAGATTTGGACCAACCAGATAAGCCAGAACCTCCATAGTCAACATCAGTTATTTCATTTACAACACCATCGTGAACACTAGGCTTTTCAGAAAACTCTTTGCGCTTCTTAGTCAAGGCATCTCCCTTAGCAACATAAGGGATCTCCAGCAACAGAGGTCCCATTTCTTCTCCACTAGAACAAAATAAAAAGGTAAAAATAAGACTCCAACAATCCAATATAATTTCATTTTCCACCATTTCTGGCAATTAACTTTAGTCCTTATCAAGCAATAAGTTCCCAACAGCCACAATCACAGAAATTTTGAAGGATTCTATTGGCTGCTGCTTACATAGAACTACATTTTAAAATATTGTTCTCGCCAAACTCTAGGAGAAATGATGCATCAAATACAAAAACATTTAAAGAGATCGCAATTTTATCTGCAATTATTTTCTCTTCCATTTTCAGTCTGTCTACCAGAAAAACAGAAAATATTGAATTTCCTTCTTTTCTACCGAAATCAGCCTTAATAAGTTAGTATCAATTCCTTACATTACAAACAAACAACCCTATATAATTTCTCATTTCTAAATCAACGTAATCTAACATTTAAGATACATCAAACCAAAATAAATCTAAAAATTAGAAACAAGAAAAAGTAAATTAATACCTTTGCAACATATAAGGTTCCTCATGCAAACGCTTCCCTTCCTTTATACAATCTTCAATCCACCGGTGATTTACGATTATCAACTTTAACTTCTTAGCAAGCTCATATTTCCTTCCTTCGAATCTACGACATACCTAAAAACCCAACGATTTTCAGTTTCTCCCCTTTAATTTTCATTAAATCGTAAGTACTAAGAAATAAGAAAACAAACCAAATGAGTGACTGATCGGGAGAAATTGCCGACATAGCTCGCACCGGTTAGAGATATGAGCTTGATTAGGTTGAACCGCTCAAGGCCGCTGTATCCACTCACCGATACCACCGCCGATTCCATTTTTTTTTCAATTTTTAGATTTTTTCCCCTTTTATAGCGAAATTGACGTCTTAGCCGGGAAAATGGAGGTTTTTTGAATTTTGGGAGGAAATGGGACTGTATGGCCCAGCAATGAGCCCGCAATTATTTGGGCCGTGAATCAAGATTGCACCTTCAGGCGTACGATGGTAAAATTATATAGATCCGAATTGACGTCTAAGCTTGTTCCACCGAATATAGAGATCTTCACATGGAGGGCTGTTCAAAACAGATTACCTGTTCTTGTGGAACTTGAAAATAGGGGTGTGGCAAACCTAGGCTCGTGTCTCTGTGTTTTGTGTCTAAATAAAAAGGAAACAGAACCATCGTCAATGCCATTGCGATGTAACTTGGAGAATTTGGCAAAGGTGGATGGAAGGTGAATTTTGTTTGTCTTGAAAGCTTTAAGTTGTTCTTATATTCTTGGGATAATAGTCCAATTGAGAGAAAAACAAAACAAAAGTGGCTTATTTCGTTCTTCGGAATCGCGTGGACTATTTGGAGGTGTAGAAATGATGTAGTATTCAAGAAGAAAAGCTTTTCCGTTGACCTTATATACGAGACAACATTAACTAAAATCGCTTCGTGGTGTAACTGGCTTTGGCCTGAAAGCTGTCCGTCGATCCTTGACTTCACCCGAAACCCAGAATTTACAATCAAAGTTTATCGATGACTTTTGGTAAGTTGTGTTCGGGCAATTTGTTATATGGGCAATGTAGGTTAGAAACAATGGCGTTGTAGAGCAAGACTTTGCAGATAACAAAGGCTCTAGCAGCGATCTTTAGCGTAAGAGGTTAACGTTCAACGAATGTTTAGTCGGAAGCTAGAGTACGCTTTAGGTGAATCTGGGTCGATGTGGTCTGTTAAGCCAACGTTTCTGAAGGTTGCGCGTAAATCTGGTATATTGCGCAAACATGTACAAATTGTAAGAAATTTACTAATTTTTACTGGAGTGGTGCAGATCAGAACGACAGAAGTTTAATTGGGTTAGAATGCTGCAGAATGTACTTATTTTTCAGGTGTGAAGCGAGGCGGTGTTGTAAAGTATTTAATCTCCGGGGGATGCTTTACGAATCAGTACAAGAAGATTGGTAGACTGTTGTCGACTCGAGAACGGGGGTGTTATACTGTTATTGGCTGTTTCGTGGTAAAGTTCCCAATTAATTGTATTTGAGATGGTTCACTAGTCAAGGGGTTCGAGCCATTTATTAGTACGATGATGGAGCTTGGGCAACGTTGTAGCTAACCAAATTAGTTCAGATGGATCGTGAAGTCTGCGTTGCGAGAGGTACAGAGCTTTCGGCAGTTTTTTGGTTAAAATTGGCTGGTCTTTATTTATTTGCTGCTGCAATTTGGTTGATGGTGCCCAAGTGACTGCACATGCTAGTGTAGTGTTGGTTTAAGTGTTTCTAGGTGTCGTTTTATATTGTGTTCTTTTTTTTGTTTCACTCAGTGTTTGTTGTTCTGAGTTGAGCATGTGTCACTTTGATGAGAGGGTTCAGGTTAGCGAATGTCACCGAATCTGGTGGGTTTGTAATGGTTTGCTTCGATTGAACACATGTTTTTCCGAATGGCTTTGGTGGAGGCATTCTTTTTCATCCATTTAGGTTTAGGGAGAAATTTTAACAAGGTCTCGGCCATAGTTATCTTTGTATGTTTTCTTTATCAATACATAAAATATGCTACTTTCAAACAAACAAAATTAAAAGACAAAAATTAAAATTTTATTTATTAATTGAAAATCATATATAAATTATACCATTATTTGAGATAGAAGGAAATGATAGAACCCTAGACATAGTATCAAAAACTTTGAAACTTAGATTAGGTTCTGTTGGTCAAACTTGGGTACATCTTTTGTTGAAATTTGGTGGTCAAAATTGGTGGAACTGATTTTGTTGAATTTGAGGAAGGGAAATTACCAAATTTAGTCCATGTACTCTAGGATATTTACAAAATTAATCCTTAAGCTTCAACTATAAATACTCTAACTCATTTAGCTTCAAAATCATCCCAAATCATTTCTTTCTCCCAATACTAAAGAGTTTAGAGAGTTTTCTTGTGAGTTGTGAATATTTTTGTAAACACTTGTAAATTTTATCTCTTTAGTAAAAGATCTGTAGCAGTCTAGAGATGTAGGCATAATTGTTCAAACTCCGTTATCAATTTTTGGGTATTATTATTCCGCTTTTATTTCGTATTCTCACAAATCTAGTTATAGGGAAATTACTCGTTTTATTTCCCAACAACTGGTATCAAGAGCTTTTGGTGGTGATTTTTTTTTGTTTTTCTGCGAGGTTACGATTCATGTGAATAGTAAATTTTATGAATAGTAAAATTTGGTCGACGATACGAGTTTGTCGACGGAGGTATTCTAAAACACGGTAGTTCACAGGAATTGTCAAAAACGATCCAAAAGAAGCCAGATTCGAGTGGGAGTGATGACTGCAAATGAAGGGAAGATGAAAATTAAGAAGTTCGATGGTGCGAATTTTGGCTTTTGGGAAATGCAGATTGAAGATTTTCTGTGCCATAAAAAGCTATATAACCTCTCTCAGGAAAACAAACAGAGGGCATGAAGGATGAAGACTGAGCTCTTCTCGACAGCAAAGCCCTCGGAGTTATCTGAATGAAGTTATCCTGCAATGTTGCTTTCAACATAACAAAGGAAAAGGCAACGACGGGTCTTATGGCAGCTCTCTCCAGTATGTATGAGAAGCCATCGACCTCAAACAAAGTTCACTTGATGAGACAATTATTCAATTTGCAGATGGCGAAAGGGGCATCAGTGGCTCAACACCTAAATGAACTCAACACAATTACAACCCAGTTGAGTTCTGTGGAAATTGAATTCGATGATGAAGTTCGAGCTTTAATTCTCTTATCATCTCTACCAGACAGTTGGAATGCTACTGTTACAACAGTTAACATCTCGTCAGGAAATAGTAAGTTGAAATTCAACGATGTTCGGGATCTGGTATTGAGTGAAGAAATTCGACGGAGAGAATCGGGTGAAGCATCAAGCTCCTCAGCCTTGCACTCGTAGTCTAAAGGGAGAACTTCGGAAAGAAATCCAAATCGTGGCAGATCGAAATATAGAAGGGGAAAATCAAGAACGAGAAAGAAAGATTTTAACTGTTATAATTGTGGCAAGAATGGTCACTTTAAAAGAGATTGTCGAGCACCGAAGAAAGATACCGGTGTATATGAATCTGCCAATATGACAGAGGAAACAGGCGATGCCATGATTCTAAGCGTCAACAGTTCGATTGAATCATGAATCTTGGATTCAGGGCCATCTTTCCACGCCACCCCATGCCAAGAAATCATGGAGAATTATGTCCGTGATGATTTTGGGAAGGTTCATATAGCTGATGATGAAACCTTGAAGATCGTCAAAAAATGAAACATCCGATTAAAGTTCCCAAACTAGACCACCTGGAAGTTGAAAGGAGTGAGACATATTCCTAGCCTCAAAAGAAATTTGATTTATGTAGGACAGCTTGATGGAGAAGGATATTGTACAACTTTTTCAGGCTGTGAATGGAAGATTACCAAAGGAGTAGTTGTCATTGCTCGTGTTAAGAAGATTGTTACTCTCTATGTAACCTCAAACTTGGAGAATATCATTGCAGTAGCAGATGCTGATGGAAAATCAAACCTATGGCACCAAAGGCTTGGTTATATGAGCGAGAAAGGGATGAAGACACTTTTATCAAAAGGAAAACTGTTAGATCTAAAGAGTATAGATGTCAGACTATATGAGGATTGCATCTTTGGCAAACAAAAGAAAGTCAGTTTTGCAAAGATTGGCAAGATAGTCAAGGCAGAAAAGTTAGAGTTGGTTCATACTGATGTATGAGGACCATCTTTAATTCCATTTCTTGCAGGCTCACTATATTATGTCACCTTCATCGATGATTCTACAAGGAAGGTGTGGGTTTATTTTCTGAAGAAGAAATCAGAAGTCTTTGATACTTTCAGAAAATGAAAGGTCATGGTGGAAAATGAGACTGGTTTGAAAGTCAAGAGGTTGAGGTCTGATAATGGAGGAGAGTACAGAAATAGTAGATTCAGAGAATTTTGCCAAACAATGGGATCAAGATGGAGACAACAGTTCCCATGACAGCGCATCAGAATGGCGTAACAAAGCGCATGAACATAACTCTGAATGAACGTGCCAGAAGCATAAGGATACATGCCGGATTGCCCAAATTGCTATGGGCTGAAGTTATCAACAATGCATCTTACTTGATCAACTGTGGGCCCTCAGTTCCCTTAGATGGTGGAATACCAGAGGAAGTTTGGAGCAGAAAAGAAATAAACCTTTCATACATAAGAGTGTTTTGTTGTATTTCTTATGTACACATAAATTCTGCTGAAAGAAGTAAACTTGAAGCTAAGTCCAACAAATGTGTCTTTGTTGGTTATGGTGGTGATGAGTTTGGTTACCGGTTTTGGGATTACAAAAATCGAAAGATCATCAGAAGCAGAGATGTCATTTTCAATGAGATTGTGATGTACAAAGACAGGTCAACCATAGAATCAAGTAGCTCCAATACCGAAGATGAAACAAAGGAATTTGCTGAGTTTAAGGAGATTTCTGGAAATGATGTTCAGATCAGTCCTAAAGAAGTTCAAGAAGAACCAGGCACACCAGAACTAAGACGCTCATCCAGAATTCTTAAACCAACCCAGCGTTATTCGCATTCTTTGCACTACTTGTTGCTGACTGACAATGGTGAACCAGAGTGCTATGATGAAGCAATGCAGATGGAGGTTCAGTCAAGTGGGAGTCTTCCATGAAAAATGAGATAGACTCACTTATGTCAAATCAGACATGAGAATTAGCTGAATTACCACCCGACAAGAAAGCGCTTCATAACAAGTGGGTTTACAGGATCAAAGAAGAGCACGATGGGAAAAAATGCTACAAAGCAAGATTGGTTGTCAAGGGTTTTCAGCAAAAATAAGGTATTAACTA